CCCCCCAACCCCGCCAGTCCTATGAGTATGCAATATCAACTACCACCCACCTTACATCATTCCGCAGGAAATCGCTCTACGTGTGTGTGTGTGTGTGTGTTTGTGTGTGTATGTGTCCGATCAACCTCAGACACCACAATTAGAAACCAGTATCCATTCCCATTCCCTAAAAGCAATGACGAGCAAGCTCCACGCAACTCGCCTCAGCCCCAGCCTCAGCGATAGATGCGCGCGCCATCGCTTCTTTAACCATCGAGGCTTCGGACCACCACCAGACCACTGGACTGTACAATCTACAGAGTAGCAGATCGAGTCTGCGCGGTACTGGTTCGTCCAGTTGTCTGCGTATACCTTACCCCTTTCTTTCTTCCTCTTCCTTGTCGACAAGAAACTGAATAGGTGTATGATTCAGAGACGAAGAGGAGAGAGGTAGGAACTATGACCCGAAACTTACCGTGGTAGCCTACTAGACACTCTTCCAGCTTGAATGTGTTGGATGGATGGATGCGTACATAGTACTGTACTGTACAGTACCTTCCTGGGCCGGGGGGGCTCAGCCTTAGAATATTCATACTCATACTCATACAATAAATAGGTTACTGAGTAGCTGGCTGGCCACCATGAACCCCAGTCTCACAGTAGTCCAACTCCAAGCTAGAGTATACTCGAAGTTACCTAGTACACAAATTACCAATGACATCAACAAGCATGCAAGTACAGTACGGACCGACCAATCATGTGAATTTGCCAATCTGAACGACTACAATATACAGGTACAGGCACTCGGCCGTCCTCTAGTCAACAGTCTTCACCATCCATTCTTCTTAGTGGCCCGCGCCGTGTCAGCCATCTGCAAGGGGAAAAGACGACTGCATCCGGTCCATCCCTGCGCGGAGATCCTCTGCCAACTTACCTTACGGCTTGTCGACGGTCCCCGGGGCCTTTTGCCTCCGCCACCGGTCGTGTCATTGGTCGAGCTGGAATTCATTTCCATTGCGACCAACGAGAACGCGTCCTTCGTCTCCGGAACCGAAGCCACCGGACGGCTATACCACCTCATGTATACTTACTACTGAGCATACCAATCGAAGGTTCCGGCAGTTGAATGCCGGAATTCCTGGCTACATGATAAGTGGCCTCTCAACGATTGGTTCATTCTTTTTTTGGTTGGGTTGGTTTTCTTTTTCTTGAGTCACTGCACCACGCTTCACCTCCATGCAACCACAGACCACAGACGCTAAAGCACATCCTGCCGAAGAGAATCCCACTAGTACTTAGTACAAATCAAATCATTTACCCCCTGACTTCACCAATGCTAGAATTCATCGAAAGGCATTCCTGCAAGACTGAAAATGGTCCCAAGGGGACAAGGTCACAAAAAAAAAGAAGAGCAAAAGCAAAAGCAAAAACACCCAGTCCATTGCCCGAAATAAGCCTAGTAGTGTATTGAATGTGTAGTAAAAAAAAAGAACATATGTTCAGTCGTAACGATCGTAGTTGTATAGAATAACAGGTGAGGGAGAACTTCACACGACCCTACTTCCGATGGTCGGCGGGCTCCCAGTGGATGGGCTCGAAATCCTGGTTCTGGAAATGCGCTTGGTTATACGGAGAACTAACCATTCATTAGCATCGCCATTGTCGAAAGTGCAGCAGAACAAGGATCATACTACTTTTTGAACGGAGTCGTCACAGGTAACGAATGACTTAAGTTCGGTTTCATCACCAGCGGATTCAGTCGGATCTGAGGGCCATCCGATTTGCGAGGCAACGATGACAACGGAGCTGGAGGGGCTGACATCCGAAGGGGCGGGGGCGATGCCAGCGAAATCGGAGGAGGGGGCGGTGATGTGTGCATAAGTGGTGGCGCATACACTTCCTGGGGCGGCGAGACACGGAACGGACTGGGCGAAGCCGAAGGCATGGGCGACGGCGCAAGTGCAAATGACGGGTCCATCATCAGATTAGGGATCGACATCAAACTGGAGTTGACGTCGAACGGGAGTGCACCTTGATCCCAGGGGGAGTAGTTAGAAGTCATTGCGTATTGATAATTGACCACGGGTTCCATATTCACAGTAGGTTCGACCGCGTAGAGAAGGTCGTAGTGGCCCCTGGTCGCGCGTTAGCATACTGAACATGACAGCCAAGAGTCGCGGACTCACGGGCGGTACAGCAAGCAGATCGTGGCCGCTGTCACCCGGTTCGGGGTGAGAAGGTGGGGCGTGACGACATCCCCTTCGCTGCGGTCCAGATAGAGGATCTCCACCGCAAACCCGGATGCCTCAATCACCCCATCGACCAAAGCTTGCAGGCCGACTTCATCAATCTCGGTTCTCACCGTGTCGATCCGTGTCGCACAGTACTGATCCACCGGCAGCGACAGGAAAGCTTGGTAGCGAAGGGCGTTCAATTTCATCCATGCGCTCGTGAGAAGCTGTGGTCATACGTCAGTCGCACGAACTCAATGACGAGACGAACAAGACTGACTCGAAAATGAGTGATGATGGCGCTGGCATTGTATTCCTCATTAAATGCCTCGACCAGAAACGTGTCGTCAATGATGCCATTCTGGATTGCTTCAATGATTTGATGGAAGACACCTTCCGTCGCGTCGACGAAGATCTCGTACAGATGTTCCTGCTGGCCGGTTCGATCCAGGAGCACATTGAGCGATTTGATCCGGTTCAGTTCGTCGTGCGCGAGCACCAGATTCTGTAGTTTGAGAATGTTCTCGAAATACCCAAACGCGACCGCTGCACGGAGTTAGCGGACAAGTTGCCCCAGGCATGCATTGCATGGGCAAGTACCTCTCCAGCCGCAGTTTCCGTCTCCCTTCATGGTGCGTACCAGGGGATGTGTTACTGCAAGTGCCTAAGATACTGGTTAAACATCTGCATCATCCTCAAGAGCGGCAGGGCCCAAACTGACTGCAGTCTTGGTGATGAAGGCAGGATCGGCATTGGCATATTCCATGGCGACCATGCTACTCGATAATTTGGTCGAGACAGCGGGACCCTGTTTACTCCATAAGCCGGGGTCGAAGGGACTATAAGGCTATCTTAGACAAGCTCACCTGAACGTTGGCCTGGAACTCATTGGAGAGTTTTTGGAACTTCTCCATCTCGTCGGTAGATAAGGCGTTCATGTTGAACGATCTGTGGCTGTGAGTGGGGTGATTGAGATGCCTAGAATGGGGAGCAGCCCCGTGGTGGTTGAAGAAGGCGGCTGAATGAGGATGTTGAGGGAAAAGTCCGGAAACGGATTCCTGTCTTGTCGAAAGTTGGTTGACGGGGTAGTAGTGATTCCAGGATACACCCGACAGGGACATCGCAAAGCAGACTAGAGAGGCCAAATGGTTGAAGGAGGAAGGTTGGTCACCGGCAGAGGAGGAAATCAGAAGTGTCGAGATACCTTATGTACGGAAGGATGATGGTCAATATCAACAACGGCCTCGCGGTCATCAAGCAGGAATCGCAGCCGGAGCACGTAATACCCACCAGACAATGCAGCATGATTTGGCGCCAGGTTCTGTCTGGTCGCCTTGCTGTGCCGGATCCTCGGTGCAGGAGAGGCGTGCCGGTTCGCAAGTTCTTCAGTGATGTAAGAGCCTACTGTGCAGCATTCTTAGCATGGGCTTCCATCAATCGACAAGATTTCAGGAGGAGTGTTTTCGATCCACCATCACTGTGAATGCGATCGGACCAATGAAACAAGCGCCGGAGATACTCCCGCCAGGGCTCGAAGACAGGATGTAGGGCCATGGAACCAGACGAAGATAGTCCAGACATGTGTCACAGCAAGCATCAAGAATGCAAAGAAAGAGAGCGAGAGCGACGGCGGCTTAGAGAGGGAAAGGCGAGCGGGATGGGCCAATAGAAAAACACCGGGAAAGAGGGCAGAACAAGGAATGCGGTTCGGAAATGCAAATCGAAGGAAGATACGCAATCTTGCACTTGACGAACAGGCGAGGAGGTCGAGCAATGACACCAGTTCGTATCAATTCAGGGAGTGATAGACGATTGTCCGCCCAGTCGCATCCGAACCGATCGCTCACCCTTCCTGGTTCACTCCACGCAGCCCGCCTGAGTTCCGAGATGCAGCATCCAAACGATGCTACTCGGTCATTCGTAGAGGCATGCCTGCCGCTCATCGATCGAGCGAGAGATGATGAAGAGGAAGAGGAAGGGGGAAGAGAGCAAGGAAGGGGACAGGCATGTGTGTATGTATAGTATAGGTTGCATGGGAGCCACCGGAAAAGAGAGAATGCAAACACATAACACAAACACAGCATTCAGCTGAAGTGGCAGATCTATTCCGCATTGTCGACAGCTGAGGATGATGGGAGGGTCCAAGTGTAGGCCAGTAACATCAGGAAACCCCCGACAAAAGAGGGGAAAGAAACCGTGATTGTGTAGGTGTCTCACATAGACACCAGTTGCCAACCAAAAGACAAAGTAGGAGGGAACGGGAATAAGAAAAAAAAATAGTGATGCTCAGACCTTCAAAATGTCGTCAAAGCTTTTCTTTTTCTTTTTCTTTTTCCTTTTCCTTTGCTTACAGCCAACGTGCATACGGAGGGGAACCCAGTCACACGTACTAACTATGGTATCAAGTAAGCATGTGTGATGGGATGGGAGGGTTTGACCCAAAGAGGTATCAGGGTGTATAGCAAAGAACGTTACAAGAACCAATTGAGGGAAGAGAAAACAAAAGAGGATGTCAGGTTAAGGGTGGCAAAGGGGAAGAAAAAAAGACCGACTAATCACTGGTAAGTGATGAGGATCATTACTCGGGCGGCGATATCAGCTACCACCTTGAGTAAAGTGGTAGAAGAAGGAGAAGAAGGAGAAGGAAAAGGTGGAGGAGGGTTGGAAAAAGGTAAAGGGGAAGTAGAACGGAGCGAAGAGCAAAGCGAACTCAGGAAGGTAACCAACCAACCAAGTAAGTGGTGTGTGTGTGTGTGTGTACAGTAGTAGGTGTAGTAACGGTAGTAACGGCAGTAAGTAAGAATAGTTCGTACCTAGTAGTAATTTGGTAGTTGGTACTTGGTAATTGTCAAGGTAGGTAGGTAGTTTGGTAGGATCAAGTCAGTTGTCAGTCGGATCTGGGGGAGGAGGTCCGAGGGAGGGAAGGCTTTAATATGGATATTAATAAGGAAAACTTTTGGCTCTTAGTATGTGGTCTCGCCCCAGCACGAACAATCATTTGTTCGGGGGAGAGAAAAAGGTGGAGTGGAGGAAAATGGAGAAGAAAAGGAGAAGAACACAAAGAAGAAGAAGAACAATCACAACCACATCCACAACAAGCCAATACAGCAGTTCACTAGCAATGGAGAAAAGAAGGATAATTCAAGATGGATAGAGACCACTAATTAGACTGACTATGGCAATCTAAAAGTCAGAAACCGACCGGGCGCGCACGCGGGGTTGCCGGACCATACATCCTGCTTCATACTGACACTAACTGACTGACTGCCAGTGAAGTAAGTCCACGGTGAGTCTTTCTTTTTCCTTTCTGATTTCTTTCTCGGCATCGGTCGGGCGTTATTAGTTCCAAGTTGGCCTCCAGGCTGGTTTGATTTAGTTCCAGTTGAGACTTGAGTACCTCCATCCACTCTCATTCTTACTTCAGTTTGACTCGCTAGTTTGCCGGGTGGATGCGTTCAGTGACTGGGGTTCCGCCAGGATGGGATTGCAAAGCCCGTCCACAGTCCACGGTGTCTCCCTTAGTCTACGACCTTAGTCTAACTTAGTCTATCGCATTAGTTATCTGTTGGCCTACTGTACGAATAGGCGGATTTGAAATGAAGATTGCGATTCCATCCAACCACAAACGTACATCTGTCGCGGAAGATGAAGATCGATGCTGTTGCAGCTGTTGCAATCAGCCAGTGGGTACAATCCCGATCCACTGCGCTATGTTAGTATTATTACTCCGTACGCATATGGATTATTGTCTCCGTATTGCTGCTCTACAGCTTGCAGCTGCAGCGGATCGGGGGAAGCATGGTCCAGTGCAACAATACTACCTAGGTAGCCTGACGTTTCTCAAGTGTGCAGCCGGCCACTATCCGTCCCGTGCGTACTGTCCATGATTTCTTTGCTTCGACTTCTGCTAGCAGCCTAACAGCAGCACTAATGAAGTCAGTACATTACAGGAAGTAGACTACCTAGTAGGTATACAATCAGTAGTTCTAGAGATTTGAACCTACAGGGGTGGTAGCTCTGGCACAATTGGCCGGAAGGGTACGTGCTCAGATCGCCTTGCGACTATGACGAGATAGAGACTAAGTTAACTACTAGGTAACCTAGATATCTCAAGGTTAGTTCCTCGTTAGCATCGAGACATCGTAGTTAAGTTTTCCGCACCCTGTCCCTAGCCGACTATCCACCGGCAGTCACTACTAGGTACTAGGTAAGGTAACAACATCCATCCCCTTCCCAAAAACGGATCCTAAAGGATCGGAGAGGAAAGGACGTGGTCCGGAGATGGGAATTCCTCGGCCTAAGAGTGGGTGAAGCTCCCCTCCCAGTCCTCGAGTCCTCGAGTCCTCTAACCGACTACACGAACGGCCGATCTGAATGCCACCAACGACCCTACCGATCCTTCATGCACTAGGAAACGACCACATGTCCGGACGAGAATACCAACGAATGGCCATGGGTCGAGAGAGCTGCGAGGAAGCTAGGATTCTCTCTGCCATTGGGCCTTAATATCCACCACTAAGCGTCGGCCGCCACTCTGTGACTGCTGCTCCGACGCGATGATGGACGATGCAAGCCTTCTTTCACTGCCGTTATTTCTTTTTTTTTTCTTATCGCTCTTTTTGTGATTACCACTAATCATTTTTTGGGGATCAAGGTACTAGGCTCATCGGAAGATTGACTTGCAAACAGCTGCATTGTCTATCTGTCTTGAACTGTGGTGATGCTTCGCCTGTAGGGTGTTGGCCTTTGCCCCGCCCCCCTCAAATCTAAATTTTTTTTATCGCCGTCGTGCATGCAGGCCGTACTCCGTACTGCGGACAGACAGACAGACAGACAGCAGCAGACCAGGCCAAGTCAAGGGCCAAACTTCCGATCGAAACCGGGCTAGTCGCCTTGAACGACGCACCTGAGGGTCGTCAGCAAGAGCAACTTCCTTGAGACTAACGCCCAACAACTGCTGCAACTGCTGCAACTGCTACTGCTGCTGGCGCCAAAGAAGCAACGTGCGATTCCTTGATGTTAATTAGTCCTCTCTGCCACCATGCGATCAGACCACCGTCGACCTCCGATGGTAAGACCTTTCTCTAAGGTAGTCCCATCTCATCCCATCTCATCCGCTCATCATCCAACCCGTCTCGCTGGTTGTAGCCATGACCAGGTTCACGGATCTCGTAAACACTAGATACTTGTCGAGTCCCAGGAAAAGGATTGTCGATCCAACTAAGAGGGGGCTTGCATATGCTACCTCGGCAGCGACTCCGAGCCCATCCATTCGCGAGGGATCGCTCACGGTGAACTTAGTGTGCTTGTATGGGATTGGAAGACAACTACAAAGACCCCGACCGTGGTGTTGTTCAAGTTGCTGTCGGGTCCGGACCGGCCCTCTCAGGAAACCCACAATAAACAAGGCGAGAGTGAGAAGTCAGAGAAGATGAAAGAGAGAGGAGCTAGAATCCCTGGGATCTGCATTACCACCAACGCCTTGCTTTTGGTTATTGCTTTGTGCTACCCTTCTTCTATCTTCTCTTACTCTCGCAGGCGTGCAGGGGCAGGTTCTTCATATTCCGATTCGTTCTACAAGGAGAGGGGGGGCCCATCAGGTGGTGGGACCGAGCGCCGAGGAGTTCTGGAACGCAGTAGGTAACTTAAGTAACTAGCCATCATGTCAGCCTGCCAGGATGTGAGATGATGACGATGACGATGATACTGTAGTTAGTCTTTGCCGTCTATGCGTCTATACGCCGGTAGACGGTAGGGCGGTAGATACAGGATAAGGTCAACGGCGCTCTGTGTGGAGAGAAGCCGTTGTGTAGCCATCGAGTTTGCAATCAGGCTGCTGCTGTGTATCAAAATCAGTCTACTCCGTACATTCCCTCTACAATCCATCCCCCACCCCCCTCCAATCTACGTCACTCGGCGAATTTCCGGGTCCTGATTGCATCTTCAGGGCACAGGATTGACGCTGGAAACTGACGCAACTTCACATTGGTTCATTATTTAGCAAGATGATTGACATTGGTAGTGGGCACTGCAGGTAAGCTATTCCCGGCGCCTTTCTTTTTTCTTTTTTCTTTCCCACCCTCCACCCCCGCCCGCCTGTGGCCTGCTTGTCCATCGCCAG